TACATCAGTACAGCTTGTAAAGTGAATTTAGCCAACATGAATACATTTCACACCATCTAGTTGAGGATTTCATACACATTATCATGGGACTAGCAGTTGGCATAATGGCTATGTTGCTGGACTCCCATGTAGTTGACAGCGGTTCGAGCCCTAGACCCGGTGGCTTAAACTCATGCTGGGCGTGTGTGTGTGCATGCCCAAGATCCTGAAATAAGATTGGAGGAGAAGGGATTGCGGCATGACCATCCCCCCTGGGGGGTGATTTCTCACTTTCTGTCTCTGTCTTTCTGGCGAGCACACACACCCTATTAGCAAAAACCTCTCAAAAAAACAAAACAAAACAAAACAAAAACAGCAACCATATTATTATCAACAGATAATTATCCATTTCTATGTCTCTTAAATGACTTGCCTTTATTTTTCTCCTTGATTCCTTTCCTCTCACTCTCACCTAATTTCCACCCTCTTCCCACACTGTTCCCAGTATCCGTAACCATTTTCCATGCTTCCATATCCTTTCAGTTTCTTCCATAGAGTGCTATTAAAAGGTAACAAGTAAGGCTAGCAGATGGCATGGTAGTTAAGGCACTGGATCCCACATGGTCGACTGCATGGTCCAAATCTTGGGTCCAGTGGCTTGAGAGACACGCTGAGCATGTGTGTGTGCATTCCCAAAATCCTGACAGGAGAATGGTGAAGAGATTATGGCATGGCCATCCCCCTAAAGGGTGCTTTATCACTATCCCTTTCTCTCTGTCTGTTTCTCTCCAGTGAGTGCATGTTCCCTATACCAATTTTTTTTAATTTGCTAATTCATTTACCCATTTGGGTCGTGTCCTAAAAGTCCATTCACAAGTCAATTTTCTTGTCTCTTTGGGGAACTATATTAATGATCTATAGTTACATATATTATGATATATAGTATTGAATAATAACTGCAGTAATAAGAGCCACAATTTGAGTATGAGGTATGGTATACATGCTGTCTGTTTTTCACAACAACCCTACAAAATAACTTCCCATTTTACAGATGAAGCTGAAGTTCAGTTAAGTTGACAAACTGGCATTTTTATTTATAAAATTATTATTATTTTTAAAATTTGCTATAGGATGTATGTGCTTGCCAGAGAGAGACAGAGAGATAGAGAGTGCAAGAAAGAAAGCCCTCCCCAGGGGAGATGGCCACACCGCAATCCCTTCTCCATTATCCTTTTGATATCTGGGGCATGCACACACCTGCACCACCATGTCTGGGACTTGAATTGCATATGTGGGATCCAGCAGGTAGTATGGTGGTTAAGGACTGACACATGGCTGACCACAGTTCAAGTCTGAGACTTGGTGGCTTAAAAATCATGTTGGATGCATGTGCATGCTCAAAATCCCAAGAGGCGAAGGGAAGAGAAGAGACGGGGTTGTGGTGTGGCCATCCCACAAGGGGGTGATTTCTCTATTTCCCTCTCGCTATCTCTCTCTGTTTCTCTCTGGTCAACAAAACTAAAAAAAAATCAAATAGGGGAACGCTCTCCTGGCGCTGGATGGCCCAGAGGCCGTAAACAAGGTTGAAGAGCTTGCAACTTGAGAAGATGACGGTTACCAGCCCTGCATTACCTCAGGGGAAAACAAGAACTACTCTGCCATTCTTAAGGAAGCCAGATACCCAAGGACAACTCACACTGCAGACCCCCACAACACCATTCCTGGTAACTACAAGATGACTGCTGTGCCGCACCAGCTGATAATCATCCCTGCGTACCAGAACTGCTTTCCTGAAACTGCATTCCCTGGAGACTCACCTACACTTGTGGATCTGCAGGAGACCCTCCCTTAATCCAACCCTGAGTGGAGTTTATGCTCCCTATTGCCAAAAACTTTATGAGCTGATGGTTGGAACTCGTGGCCTCTCTCCCTTTACTTGTATGTATCACTTTTTCAGTAACTCTTCTGGAAGACAACTGTATATAGCAGAGATATTGTAAGGAGAGAGTGGGAAAGGGCAGAGGGACAAACATAGGGAAAAAAAATAAAAGAGGAAGAGGAAAAAAAAACATATATATGTGCATAAGCAAGAAAGTAGAAGTGGAATATTATTGATGATAACATGCTTGATTAAGTCACTAT